GTTTTCTGCGATCTAATCGTTATATTGAAGCTGTATCAACTAGAGATGTGGCTTCATTTCTCACAGTGATGGTCACGTAGTGGCAATATTTTCACGTAATGGCGATATTTAATGGTCACGTAATGGCAATATTTTCTATATTCTGAGGAAATAATATGGATGCCTGATGAGTTCTTAAAATTATAAAATTTTTTCGGGCTCCTATTTTTTTCGAAACTACTCGTTCTTTTGAGATTCCCAGTCTTGAATATTTCCAACACATACTTCGCTATTATCAAATATCTACTTTTGGAGCAGCGTTTATAATTTCTTTTAAACCTGCTTAATAAGTGTCTTAGCACCTAATAACATTTCAGCTAAATATAAAAGTATATTTTACGACCAACCATCAAGATCATAGTCGCAGCGGAACTCATTTGCATCCAGATTATCCAAAGAATCAGTTTAATCCCGTCTTATCCTTTAACTTGCCAGAGCACCATCTTAACATATTTTGAAAAATTATGCAGGGTTACATTTCGCATTGCAGCCGCTTTAGTGATAGTACCACTCAGGTGTTATATATTGTGAGGACTGTTGTGTTACCACTATTCGAGAAGTGTGAACCCTGTGCATTGATGACTGCTTCTGGAATCATTCACTTCCGGTGAAATGTTGTTGTCACACGAAAACAAACGTGCAGGGCGTGGATCTCAACAGAAACCTGCAAACAGATCCTAGTACTGTTAGCTCACACACATCGACTACTTCACGTAGCGTAGCACCTGAAACCGTCCTGTCGAAAAGTCTCCCTTTTAGTTCATCATTGTCAGAAGAGCAGATGGAGGTCCAGGACCAGCGAGTTTCCCTGGGTGTACACCAGAGCGGTCAACTTGAGCAGCAATGCTGTGACCAGCTCCGTGAGCGCATCTTCAGAATGGACGCTACGAACATTACGGCAATATGCAGCACTTCGGTAAATGCGAGAGCTGCGTGGGATCAAGCGAGACGGGCAGAGATGATATTTTTTGGAAACTCTTCCCCCCTTTCCATCCATGTCGATCTCAAACTTCACTATGCTAATGTCATCCAGTAAAACTAACTTGAAAGGTGCGATCAGCGAACAGCGAACATTGAAAAACTTCTTTTTCTGAACAGGCGCGGTAGCATATTCAAAATTATTTTGAAGGAACATTCTTGAAAGTTTTTCGGGGAGGCCATTGAAAAATTTCCAAAGAAAATCGAAATTTCCTGAAAAAGAAGATTTGTGAAAACTCATTATGTGGGATTGTAAAGATTCTTCAAAAAAGTCAAAAAAATTTCTAGGAAAAAAACTTTCGGATGAAAATTTTTCGAGGAATTGTTTCAGAATTTTCAAAGAAGTTAAGAAAATTAAGGAGCTTTTAAAGATCAAAAGATGGTGAAATTTTCAAAAGAAAATTTGAAAGAAATAAAAGCAGTCAAGGAGCTAACAAACAAACACTTTTATCATCTTTTTTGATCTTTAACAGCTCCCTAATTTTCTTGACTTTTTTGAAAATTTCGAAACAGTTCCTTGAAAAATTTTCATTCGGAAGTTTTTTTTCCGAGAAATTTTAACTTTTTTGAAAAATTTTTACAGTCCCACATAATAAGTTTCTTGGCAGTTTTAATCGAGAAGCAGTAAAACAGGTTTTTTTTCACACATCTGGTGCAGCTGGTAACTTCTTTATTCTTCTGTGTTTTGGGCATTTCTGATCTGCACAAGGCCGTACTTTCTCGGATTTACGCTTTCACTGTCAGACTCGATTCTCTGACTGCTTCCTCTTACCAAATGTGCGTTTCAACACAGCTCAGCATGTCCTTCCTTATCTTCCTATTATGCGATTCCTTCCTGCTTCCGTTTGGCGTAACCTTATGCCTGCTAACATGCGCTGATTTTTTCCTGCACAGTACAATGACTGTTTGATTTGTGCCAGGCTTAATCAAAATTGTATCCTTTGCTAATTTTTTGAGTCTTGCATTCCTCCAAAAGCTTAGAAATATTTGTAAGTTATACCCAGCGGCTTAACTCACAAGGATTCATCTGCAGCTGACTGCAGTTCGCACGCAAATGATGAGACACTTTAACTGATAGCTGGTTAATTCTAACTTGAAACTTTCACATTCTCGGCAACCACAAAAACTCGGCTCGGTTTGGCCGCCGCCATATGCGATTTGTGAACGATTTTTTCGGGTGTTCTTATCTCACTGCGGCAAAGGGCGTTGGACGCCGCAGATGAGATGGTAGTAGGAGAGGGGGAGGAAATGTTGTATGTTGGTTCTGGGCGTGGGGATTGGAGGCAGAGTAAGGGGGCTGGCTTGGTGCACTGAGTGGACACGTGGCGTGGATTTTTTGACGGTTGCCTAGGCCACGAAGGGGAAGGGAGGAAGGGTTTGATGGGTGGAAAGGAGGGGAAGTCGTGCTGCTCGTTTTTGTGGCGGATATGCAGGGTGCGGAAAGAGAATGGGAGGGGGGAGGTGGA